GGCGTAAAAAGTGGCGTACGCAAGTTTCTGGGCTCAAATTGTGCGTACGCCAGTTTTATAAATCCGACCCCTGGTTTTTAACTGTGTTTTCCTCCTGCAGGTGATAAACTGGGAAAGCACACTACACGTGCCACCACAGGTCAAACTGAGCCCAGAGTCTGTCGACATCATCGGCCGTCTCTGCTGCTCTGCAGACGACCGCCTGGGAGCCAACGGCGCGGGCGAGATCAAGGCTCACCCCTTCTTCTCCGAGATGGACTTCTCCAGTAACCTGCGGCAGCAGCCGGCACCCTACAGGCCCAAAATCGCTCACCCCATGGACACGTCCAACTTTGACCCTGTGGAGGAGGAAGGAGGCCCGGGAGCGTGGAGCGACAGCGGGGACAGCACCCGGGCCCTGGACGCTCTCTGTTCTCCTCACGGGAAACACCCGGAGCACGCCTTCTACGAGTTCACCTTCCGCAGGTTCTTTGACGACAACGGCTGCCCCTTCCGCTACCCGAAACCACTGGAGGCCGCCGAGACGTCGCCGAGCATGAGCCCCGAGGAGGAGGAGGAGGAAGAAGAGGAGGAGGGCCAGGAAGAGGAGGAGGAGGAGGAGGAGGAGGAGGGAGAGCAGGGAGAGGGATGTGAGCCAGTTTATGTTTAGAGGCTTCCTGCTCATCGTTCAGCTTCCACCTGCTGCTGCTCCTCTCAGGTGTGTGTTTGTGTGTGTGCGGACACGCTGCACACGTCTGTGTGTTTCTGCATGTGTGTCGTTGTGAGAAGGCCGGAYGGATGACACATCGCCACCTTGTGGAGTTCTTTAGTGCGCACCACAACGAGAAGAAAACTCTTCTGATCCGGGACCAAGAACCAACATTCAGCTCGTGTGACTCAGAAATGTTTAAACTTCACAAAGACTGGTGACATTTCTGGGGTTTGCAGTTATATCTGGACCTTCCAGCAGCTTCTCGTCCCGTTTTCTCCACCCTCAGCGTTACGGATGAATAACACAACTCCTCAGCGACACGACAGGAGCTACTTCCTGTCCAACTGAGCTKCTTTACACTCACCTGTGGGACGGGGCAATGTGACGAGTGGAGCTAGTTTACTTCTTGATTGTGCCTCTTTCACAGCTTCTGCATAATAAGCTAAAAAGACACTAACACACACACACACGCACACACACACCTGAACAATACAGCTCATGCTAAATAAACAACTTCAAACTGATTTCTTCATTAGCATTGATGTTTTGACACAGTGCTTCTCACCGACACACTGTGACCCACAGACACACATTTAGGAGCATCGTGTCACAAAACACATTTCCCAGGAAACAACCCTGTTTATAGTTTCACCTGTCTCATTTTGTGCCAAATATACTTTCAAGTAAGATTTTTTTTTCTTCAGGGGTAGCCATTACTCTCTTAAGCTGGCTTTTTTCCCCCTTGAAAATATTTTAAATGCTTAAATGAGTAGTTTTTGGCTCCTCCGTTTATGTAAACATGATCCAAGACTGAACCCCCCTGCAGAGTTATTTTGTTGTTTTTCAAGCACAGATTTTATTACAGTTTGCAGCGTCACAGTTATCCTGACACACAGCTTTTTTTTTCTATTTTAAAATATAAAACAAGCATTTAAATTGTACTTTCTGTTAGTTCTGTCAAATAGGAAAAACGAAAGAATATTTTGAGAAAGCAACCAGACTCGAGGAACTGGAGCCTGAACTGCACAGGCCTGGACCTGTTGGGGAGGATGAGGCTTGGATTTAGATCCAAACACACACACATACCAACAAACACTCACCCACATGCATAATTGTAYAGTAATTTTTGCAAGGATTAGCCCTGAAAACAAAACGTGTCCTTCCAATAACCAAACATGTGACAGAATGACTATGTGCAATACAAAAACTACATTATATGTATATAGTTTTCTAAACGCATAATGTTCTGAAATGTACAAATATATTGGTTTATATATGTAATTTTTCCTTTTGTACAACATGCTGCTTATTGTGGTTAATATTATTTGCATTATGTTTGTTACTAGCTGCCTTGGTTTGTTGCGTTCTGATGGAAATGTTGCCTTCTGTGTGTTTGTGTTTGAAAAGTAACCAGCTGTGTGCCTTTCTGACTGAACGTTGTGAGTGTTGTTGCACTCAGTCATGACTGATGATGATGATGATGATGATGATGATGATGTGGAGTGTTTGCAGAACGTTTGTGTTGGGCTCCTCTCTCCTGCAGCTGGGCTGGCCCTGACTACAGGAGGCAGGAGTGGGATTGTTTCTGGTTCAGATGGAGTTCAGAGTTCAGAGTCAGGCAGGTTGGCTTTAAGAAATGAGATTTAAATAAAGAAATAAATAAAAAGCTTTTTCTTTTATAATACAAGGCTTCAAAAGGTTCAACTTTGAACAAAGAGTTTGGTACATTCTCTTGTATTTATCCAAAATGACCATAAGTTAGTGTTGATCTGTTGGACGTGTGTCATGTTGTGTGTCTGAGCTCTGCCTCTCTGCAGACGATGCTACCTTCTCTCTGACAATCAGCAGACGGTAAATGCTTTTTTGTGCTGATCTGTTTTATTATTTTAATCAGTTAATAACTACATTTCTTTTGGTTTTTATTATGGTTATTTTTTCCTGATATTTTTGGACATGTTGAAATGTGGTTCTGTGAAAAYGCGATGTGGCTTTTTGAACCAACTCGTTTGAGAGAATTAATCSGACAGGACTGATGAGCTAAAGCTAAAGTGGGTTTCTGCTGCCTTAAAACAACTCCAGTCTCAACAGTTTTATGTTCAGTGTAAACACTGTTTTAGAACGGTTTACATTACTCCCAGTTTCACTTAACACTGTTATTTATTGGAACTTCACAAACYGCTACTAGCTTTAGCACTTTTGTTGCAGTTAGGGATCATTTCTGAAAAAAATATGTGACCCGTCACACCGAAACGAGGATTAAGTCCAAAAGTGGTATATCGAGAAATAGGCAAATATAGTGTTTTGAATAAAATGTTAACAAAAATTGCATTTTGTCAAAATAGAATGAATAAAAGCCTTATTAWTGTATCATTTGAATGAACTGCCTGAAATAAAATCATAAAACAAAAATTTGAAGCACTTTTTTGAGCAGTAGCAACAAAAAAACTGATTTTGAGGGAAAACGCCTTAAAATTTTTGAGATTTTCCCTGTGAGCTAGCGAAGTTTCATTTCTTTTTAGCTGGAAAATCTCAATATTCAAATATAAATTTAGGTTTCCTCTTTATAAGGACATCAAATCAGGATTCAGACCAAATATTTATGTATTATTG